CAAGTGTTACAAACTTCCTGCCTTTCCATAAAAAAGAGAAAGAAAAACACCCAACTTCCAGTGCCTTCACTCTACTCCCCACCTGGTTGAGAAAAAGCCCCTGACAGCCTGCCTTTAGCTGCACTAGAAAAAGAGTATTGTCTATTTTGTTAACTAGTTTTGAAGGCAGCTCACTAATGCTCTCTCACAGTAAATGATTTGCATTGTTGTGTTGATCTAGGAATATTAGTTTAAAGCCTTATTAATAGTACCCCAGCTTCATAATCACTAGAAAAAGTTGGTGATTCTCAAAGCTATGCCTGTGGCATTTGTGATGTGAAAAAAAAGTTTGTCACAGCAGTGCCTTCTTAAAGCCTTGGGTTGATCAAAAGAGGCTGAAACAGAAACCAGCACTCTATGTATTTTTAGGTTGTCATCCATCAGTTTGAATTTTCAAGATTCGACTGAAGTCATTTCGAAGATGAGCAGCTGAATACAAACTATGGAAATAAGTTCTGCAGCATTCCCTGCTATTTTTAGACCAATTTCCCATTCTGATGTTGTGACAGGCAAAAAGAAAAAAACATGTCAAAGAAGTAAAAATTACAGTTTACTAATTTGAACTATTCTGTCCATGCTACTAAATTCAGTATGTACAAGACAAACTACATAAGCATGCTGAGCTGTACAGCATTGTAAATTAGATATATGCTGATCTGGTACCTGGCTAAGACTGCTGTTCTCTCCTTTCTGGAATCTGTAGTTTTGTGCAAATGTGCGTGTGTGTGTGTGTTTGTATGTATGTGTGTGTTTGTACGTGTGTTATATGTCCTGTACAGTATGATCTAACAAAGGCAGGCTCCAAATAGAGGGGTGATGAATCATGTGCTAGCTGAATGAACGGGAGCAGAGAGAGATTTGACAGGCCTCATATATTAGTATCAGAGTAAATGATCTAATGCTGCCTATTAATATATTCTGCATGAGCATAAATGTTTTATGTCACAAAGATACATATCTTTGTCATAATCATCATTTTGTATTTTTGCACTGGTTTTACATGATCATGCTAGTGTTATTCAAACAAATGTTCAAGATAAAGACTCTGACATTCTATAAGGTCTTCATACACCAAAATATAACATTTCTCACAGGAAAGGAAAGGAGAAGAAATGAAAATGCCTGATTAGGTACATTCATTTCCACTAATTTGAATGTGGAGCCTATGTAAAAGTATAAAGAGAAAAACAAAAATGTTCTGTATACTCTATGTGGGCAGTATTTTCTTATGGGCTAGCACACTTGAACAACATAAGTGCATATGTACTTCATATGTATTCATATATTTCTGTTTCGTTTGTAAATTGTATATGCTATATGCATGTGGTGTGTGTAGGTGTGTGTGTCTACATACACTTATTTAATTGTTTTGATGATAGTCCTTTGTGAGGCAGCAAAAGAACATTTCCTTAATTAAACCAGTGCTTAATAGTTCAACACTACATTTGTCCACCTTTTATTGTGGGGACTAAATAATAGATAAATGTAAGTGAAACTACAGACAATGAGTCCTCTATTCAACAAAGACAGGCAGCCCTAAATAATTAACAAGCTGGATGCAAATAAAACCAATGCAAATAGCTGGTTTAAAATAAGCACAGAATCATGGATTGAGCTTACTTTGAAACTTAAGATTTGGTATTACTGTCCATTTAAAAAGGGCGTACTGAGTCAGTGTCATTACATATAAGAGCAGTTACTGTTTTCTACTACACTCATAATCACCTAACAAAGCATGGCTACTGCTAAAGGAGAATATAGTGCTTTTCTTATGTTGGCTCAGTGAATGAGCTTTTCAGTGTGAGAGCCTGAATAGAGTAGCAGCTTTACTCTGTTATAGTGACTTTAGGCTAAATATACAGGAGCTTCATTCCAGAATGTCCTCAACGCATTGGTTCTCACATTTGGGATCAAGACACACTACACCATCAAACTAATTTAAAGGGCCCATATAATTGAAAACGGATTGCTCGCTTTTTTGTCCAAATAAAAAAGTTTGGTGTAGTATGTAAACACTGTTAATGTTTCAAAATGTACCAATAACCTCCCTCCCCCATCCATACAGTCCATATATGGAAACTAAACTGCAAGAACATTTTGAATAGATTGTTTTGTAATGTCATGAACACCACCAGATTTACATAGATTTGCCTATGTTTTGCCCCACCTATTCACAATGTTATGTCATAATGAGTGTTTCAGTCAAGACTGATTTATGAATGAGGCATAATATAAGGCATCCAATCAGAATAGAGATTATTTGCATGTACCAGCCTTGAAGGTGTGATAACAAAAACAGCCTGTTTAATTCTAATTCTGTATTTACATTGGTGGATGGCAGACTCAACATGCATTTTTCTAACTTTTTACAACATAGCATAAACGATTAAGAGGTTGTAAAATGCTCATGTAGAAAAGATATATAAACCCACATAACATAATAAGAGGGTCACCAGAAAAAAAAAAGGCTGTGGGCTCTTTAAGCCTTGCCAAATGGATCAGACACTGTAAGGTGACCAGCAAACAGGTGTTATCCCAAATTAATAAATGAACATGACAGGTTATTGGTGCACAGTTAGATTCCAATTATGCTCCACTCTGTTCCAGGCTGATTTCGTCCCATGCATTCTAAGAGCTGGAATTAAGATTAACATTGCAAACACATAATTACAGTGATACATAGTGTGTACGCTCATATAATGTATATTCTACTTTTCTGAAAAATCAAAACTTTATTACACACAATTTCTTCTGATTATGTGTTTTCTTCCCAGTTTGTTAACAGTGTTTTATTTAATAGTCAAACTCCCATAAAAGGACTACCAAATCAATTTCTCCCATTTGGGGTCATGGTTGACAGCTGATCAAATGATTGAATGCTCCCTTTGACCCATCCAAAAACATCAATACCCACACTATAGATACACAGTACTGTGAATCATTAATGTAACTCTGGATTCACTGCCAGAATGAATAAAAAATCTATACAGCTAATGAAAGTGCAAATTGGGCATTTGGTTAATCAGGGGGCAAAGACAATATAAGCATGATTGCAGCTGAATGAATGAGCAATGTGTGTTATGCTCTTAGATAATTATGGTTTTAAGAATCAATTTTATGACCACAAAAAATGAAGAAGGAAAGGGAGGAGAAATAAACCCTCCCCCTCTAGTTTCCAATGTTCTCTCTCTTGCTCACTCCATCTCTTTGCATCTCCACATAAGTGCACGAATCCATAGCGCTATTATTCACAATTGGTACAGCATGCTTATAGATCCATGCATTGTATAAATATTTCTGGCCTTGCATAATGTGGTTCCTTCCCTCAAGAACACAGAGGATTAGGTGAATAAATTACTTAGGCCACACAAACTCAGGTAGCTCAGGAAAATCCATATACTGCATCTCTGCAGTTAACATGGGTGGACATTGTTGTGGAGTCAAAATTTCATAAAGCACTGCATTCTGTTAAATGAAGCATAAATTGAAAACAACATGAAAAATTAAGTCAGTGTGCTGCTGTGGGACATCAAAGAAAGGTGATTGTGTGATTGGATTAAGGATATGGGGCAAAATATGTCAGCAAAAGGCACAGTATTTTTTGACCATGAACCATTTTCAATCGCCAGGCCCAAGCTTTACTCAGCTTTCCAGCCAAACATCTTGAATAAGTAAAATGCTTGGTGATTCCACTCTCTGACAGTGATCAGTCTCCAGTTGCAGTTGGATTTGACAGCAGAGATGAGCTGGCTGGTCTCTGGGTCAGCCTGGGGGAAAATCTATGCAGGTTACATAACACACACACACACACACACGCACGTGCTCACATAAGCAATTGTTGTATACTGCATTGCTGTATTGAGAGGCATCATAAATGTATCAGTGTTTTTACTTCGATGCATTTTAGTCTGTCAAGAGTTTAGCAGGCAGTGAGCTCAGGAGCCTGACAAAAAGCATTTCTTCATTTATTTCACTTATTTACTTGTTTGCGCATATTCAAGCGCTATTTGTTCAGTTCATTTTTATATCTACAGTGGATTGTCTCAAATCTTTGAGGTCTGAAGGCACCAAGATCCCTAGCAGTCAAAACCCTTAATCCTTTACCCATCTGACCTGAAGAAAGTTCAAGAGAAATGTTGGCAGATGAAACCATGTTGGTCAGTAAAATGTATAGTAAATTATACAGTACATTATTTCTTTGTGTGTCTGTTTAAGAGGATAAAATTTGTCGGTGAATTGAACAATTTTTAGATGGCCCGGTTTAAGTGTGGTGTTGAACTCTGTCTAGCTTTCATTTTATCTTTCCCTAACCAACTACGGCAAATAAATAATAGTACGTTAATAAAGAACATGAAACAGGATTTACAAAAAGTATAGCTAACGTAATTTGAAGACAGTTTTACAGTTTTAGAGTTCTCTTTCCCGTTATCTATTGTGACAACGTTGGCAACGTTGTCAGTACTGTGCCACAACCTCACAGAATCCTCATAAGTTCCATTATGTTGTGCATGGAACTCCATGCAATTTTGCTAAGTTGCCAATAGGTATTCATAATAACATACGACAGCGTAACTTAATAATGAGGTTGTGACAACCTTGTCCAGACAACATAAACAGCACCACCTTTTGACAACGTTGTAGCAACTTCGTCAGAAAGTAGACCACATTATGACAATCTTGTGTGTTTGTTGGGAGTTTCATATACCACAAGTTCTGTCTCCTTGATTTACTGCTACTAGACCAAGAGCTCAATGTTGAGGAAATCCCATCGCTAAAAAGTGTCTGTTTGAGACCCTGTCAGTTTGTAAGAAAAACTCAGAACATATATTCAAAGAGACGTGGGCTTTCTGCGTTTGACTCTAAGCGTAGCACTAGTTGTGCTGAGGAAGCGCACGGCGTGTGAAACGGCACTGCGGTACTGCTGTATCAATGCGCGCTGCTCGCTCACCGCCAGCACGAACTGGGGAAGAGCGCCGCTGCCTCTTTGCAGCAATTATTTGTTGGTTGAAATTTTCCCCCTTTCTTTTTCATTGTTGTAGAACATTGATTTCCGAATGTCGACGAGTCGCCTGGACGCTCCTCCACTTACAAGGGTTTGCATTTCTTGGTCTTGCATGACGTGTGTTGCAGGGTGAAAAAAGGCTGGTTTTGTGTGTTTATGGCTGGAAAAGCTGGGGAAAGGAGGCAGCGGCAGGGCGCTGCTGTGTGGCTCCACTGGCCACGGTTTTGAAAGATTGACGAAGAGAAGCAGACAAAAAGGACTCGTCGAAGCCAACGAGAGAGAGCAGGGAATCCAACGGGAGACGGCGGGAGGGAGGGCGAGCAGGGAAACTAGGTTTAAAACCATTTGCAAGAGCTGCTTTGCATGTGTGACATTACTCAGGAGCTGGCATGGGGCAGCAGGTTAAAGGGCTGTGTGAGGTCATCAGCGGATGTGGAAAGCAAAAGGATGTAGAATTTATGTGCTGTTAACCAGCCAGGACTGTTTAGACCTATCAGATTGTTTTTAAGTGTTCTGTCTGATCCGTTGAGCTCTAGCTCTCTAGAAATTGCAGTATGCAGATGTGCAACATTTTCTTCTTGTGAGATGGCTGTCGGTTGATTTTGGGACTAGATAAAGGTTTGGGTACCTCATACATACTGTTACTTCGTGAAGTTGTACTAGGTGGTTCAGTAGGCTATGAGGTCATACCTTCTGTATCATGGGAACTGGTGAAGGTGTTCTTGTGAGGTGAGGAGCTGTCAGTGGGATTCCAAAAAGTAGGTGATGAAATTTTGAGACTTCATGGGCCTATGCCCTCCAAAAGAAATAGTGTACATATTTATTACCTTATATACGAACATTTAGTTCTCAGAGGGTAACATTAGGCTTGTGTTTCTTCATTGATCAGAATTTTTTTTGATGAGGTTGAAAATGTGCAGAAACCTGAAAGTACAACCGGTCAGCCGTAATTGTACACTCATAGCGTGAAATAATGTAAGTACATTACTGTGTTCCTAGGCTACCATTCCCTACAAGCATGTTACGAGGCTATCAACAAAGCTTTGTCTTAGCAAAGACATAACCCAGCAAGAATGAGCTTCGCTTGTATGTGCTGTATGGAGGTCAAGGGCGAGAAGAACCAAAAGATTAGATGATGACTGCAGTTCATAATGGAGCACCTGAGCCCTGGATGAATCTTCAGTGGCAACATTGAGGACAGTATGATCATTGAATTCAAATGTTAGTTAACAAGGCAAGGGTCCTGCTGGATGTGTTTGTTTTGTTTAGGCTGTACTGCCATTGTGAGAAAAATCGTTAGTGTAAAATGAGCAAGTGTTTTAATTTGCTTTAAGTATCCTGCTAAGATGTTACATTAATGCCCTTCTCTAGAGTTCAGCTTATGAATAGGGATGAGGACAGTATTACAGTGTAATAATAAGTTTGTGTAGTGAACACTGAAGTCACAGCAGTGTTTATACCACCATATGCTTCTCGATAAGCATGATGTGCTTTGGACTAATGAAGCTTTACCCACGACTCAGCAATTTTATACACCATCAACCCTAACTTGTTTTCAGAGGACAGTTCTGTATTGTTGTATTATATGTGATTTGGGAATAAAAGTCTTTTATATGTGGCTATTTACACGAGATAGAAAGTGTCTTAAGAATAAGTGCAAGAAGTACATTTAGTCTCTGACACAAGTCTATGAAAGATATTCCTCCAGACACAGATTAAGCTAGCCTTAGACTAAATTACACTGCTAAAGGGATTTCAGACTTTAAATTCCTCTTTAGTCTAGTTCTAGAATTAAATATATTTAAAGAACAAGCCAATGAAATGAGTGTGCGTTATATTTTTACATTGCATGATTCAAGGCACAAATTCAGGGGAAACAGTAGTGTATTTGTAATGTATTTGAGCTTGTGATCTTGGTACATATATATGCTCTTTATCTCTTTGTTTTTCAGGAGGAGCAGGTGGCGGCCTACACTTAGAACAAATGAGGATTCTCTCAGCCCAGCCATGTGGAGGCATGTTATGATAAAGGCTCAGTGGCAGAAAACCAAAAGTGGTCTATCTGTCATCCCTGTGTGAATGCTGGTCTGGATTTGACTCCGTGGGTACCATCTGGCTGGACTGCTTCCAGCAGGATTGGGTTTTGGATTTTTTTCATTATGGATACATCAGCCTGGAATCTAATGTGAATCCTATATGGCAAGTAGCCTCACTGAATCTGCAGTGTGGATATCGGATGTTCTCACCTCTTTTATCCAAGGACTGATTGTGTTTAGTGATTGAGTTGTTGGTCGAGAGTATTGGGAGTTGAAGCCTTAAGTGGAAGTGTAGTTATACCTGTCAAAGGAAGGCGGTTTTATCTGAATCCTGCCATTTCTGCTGTGAAATGGAAGGCCCACGGTGCAGTGGCATCCGGAAAAAGCGGAAGTCTCGGTCAGAGCGTGACCGGGAGAGGAGGTCTAACGGGATCAGGAATAACCATGTCCGGGACTCTGTGCTCCGATTCTCTTCGGATTCTGAGCGGGAAAACAGCACCAACCCCTCCTCCTCACGACCCAGACCACCCAGGAGGAAGAGGAAGGAATCTACTTCAGCTGAGGAGGACATCATTGATGGATTCTCTATATCTGGATTTATGACCTTGGAAGCTCTTCAGGTAGGTGTGTTGCACTGCTCACTAAAGCTGCACTTTCTGGAATATGTTTTTGTTTACTTTTTTCACACTGTTCTGTTGTATGACTTATAGTGAAGTAATGATTGAGCTGTTATTGTTTGTTGACTAATTCCTTCTGCACTTCACTTGCCTGAGTGTCTTTCTTGGCTCCAGTTTTGCATTTTTTGTGGATTTGCTGAGCGTGTGTGTGTGTGTATGTTGTGTAATTTCAACAGATGTGGCTTTAAGAATGGTTATGTTGCCAAAGATCTGGTTTGCTGATGTAATGTTTTGCTTCTTTAGGAGTTTGTTTCCAGTGTTTGAGGGAAAGAAACTAACTAATAAGGCAGGCTGCAGACAATATGTGGAATCTCTCTTTCTCCAGCATGCTTGGGCATTGAGAAGGACAGGTTTATTTAAATGCTTTGGAGTTGGCAATAATTTGTTCTTTACATAAAGCAGGTAATACATTCAGATTTAACTTGTGTAATGACCAGGAATCAAATTTAGATCCCTGCATAATGGTGAATAATATATAGTGTAAAGTAGCATTGATGGCACTTTTTTGAAGGTCATTGCCAAGTATTTCATTACCTGTCAGTCTTTGCCATGTACCTCAAACTCCTCTGATGTTGCTGATTGTTATCAAATACAGTATTTCACCCCTGGGGTCTGTTAATTCCCTTAAAGGTCTGTCTCCCCATGCTCCTTTTACAGCCTCACAATATCTGAGAAACTAATTGAGCTTTTTGTGAACATCAGGTGCTGGGTTGTAGAGTTGTTGGACGTTTGCTTACACAAATAAAGAAAAATATTAAAAATCATTTTTATATACCTGATCTTGCACACAGGCTTATGATCCTGCTTAGTGCCTTTCTCGGAATTCACTTTTTTCATCCTACCTTATGCTGTTTTTCTATAGACTTTTTGCTTGGATTAGTTTGTATACTCTAGTTAAGTGTAAATGTTGATCACTTGATTACTACAAAAATTCCAAACACATGTTGAAATTAGCATGGGCGTCCCTGAAAAAGATGGAGCCTAAAAGGCTGCATATGTTGCTCCAAAATGTGTTCTGTGTTAATGGTGGCTTTTGAACTTTATACTGCAAACAATCTGGATGGTCCTTTTCTTCTTTGGCCTAGAGAACACAGTGTCCATTATTATAGTGTTTCCACTGTTTATCAGTCTGTTTCAAATGAACTTGAGCTTAGAGAATTTGGCAGTGTTTCTTAACTTTGTCGATGCAGTCATGGCCAGTGTTTAAGATGTTTCTTTAACATTTCACAATGTTCCCAGCCTTTGTCCCAATTTTTTGGGTACAGGCAATTTCAGAATGAGTGTATATGTACAAAAAATAAGGAAGTTGATAAAATAAGATTGCATATCTCTTGCATTTTAATTCAAATTCAGGTAGATTTCAAAATCACTGCTTTCTGTTGTTATATGTTGTTGCTGTTATTGTTGTTGTTGTTGTTATTTTATTTACTGTCCCAACTTTTTTGGAATTTAGTTTGTACAAGAAGCAAACATACTTGAAATCAGAAATCATGATGAAGAATGATCCAGTTCCTTAAGCTGAATTTCACTTGTTGTTCTTTCGAAACACCAGTTCAAACAACGGTATGGCCACTTTTCCATGAAGCTGTGGAAATAAACAAACTGAACACTAGTGAGTTTCAGGATAAATTTATGCACTTTGTGTACACCATGCACATAGCTGTATTTCAACATCTGACTTGACAAAATTTAACATATAATTTCAGAGTATGATTTTATGTTTAGTTTAACAAATAAGACTTCATACAGTCATATTATTTCATATTTGTTATGTAGCTTTGTGTCACCCAAATGAGTGCTCGTGTCACGTATTGCAGGATTAATCTTGAGCTGCTTCATTGTAATCAAATTAAAAGGCTTTAGAGTTTCTTCAAAAAGTAGCAGCCTGCGGTTCTTCCATTATGGTGGCTTACCAATAGCTGGATCCGTGCTGACCTGTTTTGTCGTTGTTTCTTATTTTTAGTACTTTGCACCAACAGGTTGTCTCAGCAGGGTACCCTATTTTTTCTGCATTTACTTGTGTTTTTTGAACTTGGGCAGCTGTGTGATCCTGGTATTGATGCGGATATAAGCCTTGCATGATTTAACATTTCTGTTTTACTTCTTGGGGATATGAAGTTATTTATATTCGTTCAGGTTCTCACTGATTGTTTGGTAAAGAATAAACCAATCTACCACTATTCTACTTGTCAGTCTCTCTGTACTGCCTTAATGTCTCTGGCAGTGTCCTCCCCCTTCTCTCTCACTCTCTCCATCACTCTCACTCTCCGTCCCTACCCCAGACCCTTGATGCTTTTAATTCTGTTCTCTCTGAAACTGGAAATGTGTTCCTCCTCACTGCATTGAAATCAAAACATTCCACTTGAGCTGTGCTATGTCTGAGGCACTTTTATTCGTATGAGGTAACAGAGAAGTGAGTCTCTTACGTGTGCACATTGTGGAGCACCAGGCCTGAGAGGGAAAGCCAGAGATTCTGTGTTAGTTTGCTTTGGAAAATTGCTGAATCACTGAGATCCTTCCGTCTCACCATCCTTTGTGCAGTATTGCTTAACACTCAGGCTATAATGCCCACACATCGCAGTTAACCACTTAACATACACCACTTTCATTTATCAGGCTTTAACATTTTGTAATGTTCATTTGTCATGCTTTAATTTTTTTTATTAGGAGGAGGAACCCCTGGAACATTCATATAGTGTTTGGTCTTTGGATAAGACTATAGTATTTGCAGAGTAAAAGCACTAATACTTCAGATATGTTAGGTTTGGAAATTAGTTAGTTGTTTCAGAAAGAGATAGATAAAAGGACGAATGGACCTGACTGGCTCATCATGTTCTTTGCCTGGCAGTAGGCATTTCAGCGAGGAAATTAGGTCACGCATGCCGGAATGGTTGGCATGGTGCCCAGAGGGCATATCTTGGGTATCAGTCTCTCTAATGCCACAGAAAGAGCAAAGCAGACCTGACAGCATCTATTTGTTCATCCATCCGTTTATCTTCCCAATAATCCATTTTTATTTAATATGTCAATAATTTTCTCAGTACCTAAACCAACTGTTAGGATTATAGAAAATAAACTTTCACTTCTCCTTTTACTGTTTCCCTACATTGTTTGTAACACCAGAAACAAGGCTGTTTCTTCATAAATTACATTTCCAACATGCTGTGTATTGGTTAAAGTTACAGCAAGCATTATCCTATTTTGTGCATTTAATTCATTGGTTAATTCATTGGTGTGTATGATACTCCTTTACATTTGTACTTGTTGTAGGAGATGTGCCTTACTGGCGGAATTCTGAAGGAGACTAGATTTTCTCAGCTGTGGTTGTCTCACTGCTGTCTTACAGAATATTTTAAAGAATACAGAGAGATAAAAACCGAGCGTGAAAGTGTGTGTCAGAGTGAGAGAGAAAAATTGATTAAACGCTTCATTGTTGAGAATATTGTGCGACTGAATCTATTGACATACTGCTTCTGGCCTGTTTCAAAAACCACACAAAGAATGTACATATAATGGGAGTAAAGACACTTCCATTTAAAGCTAATAAAAAGTAGCCTACTTAACTGAGCTACATGAAATTCACCCTCTGGCGCTTAAAGACTCTCTTTTAGGCTCTATTCAGGACTGGTCTTCTCGTTCTCTTTGGCTTCTTGCCATAAATACATGTGTATGACAGATACCACTTTTTAAGCCTTTTTTCCACCTTTTCTCCCTCAGTATTTCTAACAGCAGATATCCATTTAGTTCTCATTTTCTGCCTGTCATAAAATGATATATGATATGCATTAATAAGGTGCTGCAAGTCCAACGAGTGACATTGAATGTGACATCCTATCATTCTGACGTGTTGAATGCTTGTGGTGGATAATCCTCCTGCCTTATTTTTGACACCTTAAGAAATGTTTCTAACACTTATACAGTCCTTATGAAATGGTGCAATTTTGCAGTATACTTAGGTGTATGTGATGGCTGTGTGTCTCATATTGTATAATATTACAAAATCTACAGGCTATGAAAATAAGCTGTTAAAATGTAGCTGTTTTAATGTGGATTTTAAAAGAATCTCCTTTTGTAAGTGAATTTCCAAAATTATTTTTTCCGTTTTACCTCAGTTGTCTGTCACTGAGTATTTTGAGCTTGTGTATGCTTTACAAGATTGCTTATTTTCTAGTTTTGATTTGCCAAACTTATCAAAACACATTATCCAGCTAGTCTGTACAACAGCCCCAATGGCAGTTTTATTTACAGACCTGTGGGTGAAATTCTCCTTTAGTCCATCTGTCAAGAGGAAATTATTTTGTTTGTCTTTCATCTGTTCTGTAAAACATAAGACTGGGGAAAATGAAGGCGCTGTTATGTTGCTAGACACCAAATGCTACAACGCTTATTGGAGCTTTTGTGGACTGCACAGTACAGTGGAAATTGCCTATGAAGTGTGACAGTTATGGATTGTCTGCTCCTCGGATGAGGTTAAGTGTCATTACTTCAGGCTAATTCGATAGCTTTAATTCACCACAGGCAACAGTGTCCATATGATAGCTGCACATGTTACCGTGTCATTGTCATATTCAAGTGACATGAAACAAACAAACATGCAACTTGCACACAGAATTATGCATGATTCATCTCATGCACTGGCACACACACACACACACACACACACACACACACAGATGTGATTCATGTTTAATTTATGACATTTCTGTCCTTATCCAGGTGAAATTAAACACATTCAAATTAAATAGCAGCTGTGGTAACATGCACTGTGGCAAACAGTTGTTAACCACAGTAAATGTTTGCTTTCATGTTGAAATGCTGTTGCAAGGATCTCATTAATGACCCTGTGATAGTGTCTGTGTGAGAGGGGGGTACTTTGTGTATGTGTCTTTCACCAATGGCCACAAAATTGCCCATCTTCTGCTCTCTGATATCCATTGATGCTT